GTCGTATTTGTCACCGTGTTTGCCATAACGGGTGAATCGGTCACCATACCTATCCTTGTGTTCGTACAATCGGTCATATTTGTCTTGATGATATTTGTCATCATATTTCCCGTAGTTGTCATAATGATCCACATCGTAACGGTTATCGTATCTGTCTGCACGATGTCCACGGAATTTGTCGTATCCGAATCTGTAATCATCATAAGTGTTGTCGTATTTGTCACCGTGTTTGCCATAACGGGTGAATCGGTCACCATACCTATCCTTGTGTTCGTACAATCGGTCATATTTGTCTTGATGATATTTGTCATCATATTTCCCGTAGTTGTCATAATGATCCACATCGTAACGGTTATCGTATCTGTCTGCACGATGTCCACGGAATTTGTCGTATCCGAATCTGTAATCATCATAAGTGTTGTCGTATTTGTCACCGTGTTTGCCATAACGGGTGAATCGGTCACCATACCTATCCTTGTGTTCGTACAATCGGTCATATTTGTCTTGATGATATTTGTCATCATATTTCCCGTAGTTGTCATAATGATCCACATCGTAACGGTTATCGTATCTGTCTGCACGATGTCCACGGAATTTGTCGTATCCGAATCTGTAATCATCATAAGTGTTGTCATAGTTGTTGTTGGCGTGCTGTCGCGCTCGACCGTAGTTGTCATCGTACCTGTCCTGGTGGGCATATTGGTTATTATAAGTATTATCATATTTATCATTGTGACCATAATCCTCATGTCCATATCCGTACTCGTGATCATTAGAGCCGTAGTTGTTCTCTGAATCATAGAAGTAATCGCTGGAACCATATCCATAGTCGTTATCGAAATCGTTGGAACCGTACTTGTTGTTGAACTTGTCTGCATACATTTCATATTGCTTGTATAAATCATTTCGTTTGAATTCGTCTTCGTTTTCACTGCCTTTATCGTATTTGCCGTAGTATGGTTCTTTCACCCAGTATGGTTCGTGTTTAATCTCCTGGGAGACCTCACGAAGTTTGTCCATTCGTTTCTCATAGCGGATTCCGTGTCGATTCTCATATCGGGACTGACCTTCCTTGCTCCATGTCGGGTGGTTATGTTTGTGTGACCCGTAGAGGCTGTAGTCATCTTGCGATATCGAGGTCAATTCCCGTTTCGCAGTTTCGCTGTCGATTCTGGCAGCTTCTTTGAAGTGAATCATCGACTCTTTTTCCGTCTCGGAACGCTTTTCCATTCGGGGTTGCGCGTTGACATGATAGCGCAATCGGTTCCGGTATGCAGGGGCACAGAGCGTCACCCCAACTAAAAGAGCTATCAGAAATAGCTTTCTCATGTTTCTTTGCTATGCTCACTCACTGCGACAGTGACGCCTTATATCTACAAGGGATAGTGCGATGTAAACGTGTCATTTGTTGGTTATCGATAAGAACTTGTGTTCCTTATCGATTCTTTTGCACTGTCATCAGATAAGTAGAGACTAAGCCACTAAGAGCCTAAGAGACTACAGGGCACGGAAAATCGAAACATGCACCAGATCTATATCGAATCTGTCCATGATGATCGGTTTATCGTACGAATTATGAAGATTTTCGTCACGTGATTGGAATTGGAAATATTTGTTTCATTGAAAATCACTGTGAAAATTTTACCACGCAGTATTAAATTTATTACTTTTCAACCAGCAGGCATATTAATATCTACTACGAATTCGATATGCACATTGTTAATGTGCTCGTAGAAGTAGATACCGATATCACAAAAAGATGAATACTCTTACCTCCGTCAAAACCGGACGAACCCGAATGGAGTTACTTATCAAAGTCTCAAATCAAACGTGATTAAATTCCAGAAATAATGGAAATACCCGAATCTACAAAATATAATCCTATCTCCCATTTTATGGAGTTGCAACCGACGAGCGTTCATGAGAACAGTGACTGGAGAACGAACTTGTTTTTGGTGCCTATTTGACTGCATAAATATAGCGCATGAAGTAATAGGTGGAATGAAGTGAGAATATACAAGTGAAAATAATGAGGAGTTCATAGTGAAGATTGTGATCATTGGCATGCAAGGCCTTTTGCGTGTTGTTCTTTGGTGTGTGGTTGGTGTGTTTGCGAATGAGAGCTTGTGGAGGGAGGGTATGCCCCCAAATTATGAATAAAAGGCTATGGCAGAACCGGTGTTCTTACAAACTGCTTCTACCGCACAAAGGAGAGGGAGCGGGAATCAACTCTGCTGTAACAAAATTTGGAATTTACTCCCTCTTTATAAACTTTCTTTGACCATAAAGAGAGAACAAGAAGCTTCATACGCATGGATTGTGTGATTATCCTCAGTCAGGATTTGGGAAACTGCCGCAGCTCCAGTTCTTGCTAATCCCCGTTTGCTTCAAAGGAGCAGATGAAATGATAAACGCAAAACGGTGTCGNGGTGTCGCATTCAGGTGTAATTTGTCTTTTTCCCGCATCAGGTGAAAAGGCTTGGACATGGATATAAGGCGGAGTTTAGCCACAAAAGATGATTAAATTCGTCTGCTCAGTATATAGTGTTCCTGAGTCACATTGACTTGCAACTCTTTCAGATTTATATGGCTGCGAGTAGTCAAAGGCTCATTGATGTAAGCAACTAACTTCACAAATTTTCACTAGTCTTAAGATCTTACGCTTGAGTGGATTCTTCTGGAGTGGTTCATATATGTCACATAACAAAGATTGGAAACGTTGATAGACGGCGAGACTCTGTGATGATTGACAAAAGCTATGAACTGCTGTTTCTCCCTGTTGGGAACTCATCAGCAGTTGCTGCAACTCGAACCACGAAACTTTGTACTGGAAGTCCAAGCCCTCACCCCTGCGCTACGCAGCCGATGGTCAACACTTTGAGCGATTGGTTTAATCAGTTTACAGTATCATCATTGAATTAGCTCACTCGAATGTTCACAAACACCAAAAACTGCTACCTCTTTCGATATTTTCACTCTCTTTCACTTGCTCCTGTGGAAAAAATATGTTGGATGCAAGACCAGGCTCCTGCCTGAGCGCATTCGTGAGAATCATCCTGTATGGTTGAAAAGTGGAGTAATCAAGTAAATCACAAATTGTGGTCGTGTCGCACCTGATGGACACTAATCACATCGTAAACGAGAACAAAGCTTACCAGCGATAAAAAAGAAGGTCTAGACACGTGTGGTTCCGCATTCTAGCCACAGCGGAGGCAGCTGATGCCCGTCTTCACAACCCTCCTCTGTTTGCCCAAAAACAATGGGTGCAAGCACCAAGCTCCCATGGCCGGCTTGCCGAGAAATGACGTGTACCGAAAAATCCGATCTAATGCGGATTGGGAACCAATTCTAATTGCTTCCTCTTGTCCCTCGTAAATCCTTATCTGTAACTACACCTTCCCCCATCAAGCTTTAGCGAAAACCCGCAATCCTATAGTATTGCCCCAAATTCATTTAGTCACGACCCTTGTCTCGACGCACAAACTTCAGTCACGCCACTCTAGGCAAGTCAGAAGAAAAAGTATCGGAATATTTCAAGGTTTACGCATGTTAGAACATTTCTTTTTTTACAAATGTTGATGTGGCAAAGCTTGATTAAGAAATGTAAGGGTGTGGCGGTCGCATGCTGCACCACATGTTGATTGGAGAATATTTGAACGATGTGCCCGTATCGTCAAACCATTTGATACATCCCGCATAGTGTTTTCATATATTATGCCATACTCCCGTGAGTAAAAATATCAACTGTAACACAAACGGTATATTATTTTGTGTTCACAAGTCCAGCCATCAATAAAAATGTGATACAATAAAAAGGAATGCTTCGGTGCAGTACCTCCACTTAAAGTGAACTCCGTTTTTGAGCTGTGGATACATATACAGTCCGAGGATAATAAAAACCGTTCACCAAAATACACCCCATTAATATAAATAGGGTCGAGGTCGACCGTCGAGGTTTAAGAATCACTGGTTTTGGCTAATGCTTGATGGGAAAAGGTGTATTTATCTACATTGTGTTGTAGTGGCATGATTAAGATGCACTGAAAACGAGCATGTTGGTCAATTTGTGTTCCCATTATGTGTTTAATGGGACTGTTTAAAGCTGCTACTGGTCTTCGGTTTATCTTTAACTTCTTTGGAGCTGATTAATTCTCAACATAGGTATTTCCATTACCTTTAGTTGTTGTTTCCGAATAAATTGTATTCAGATACATGTATACCTACCACTACGCACTGTGTTTACCTTCGAAAACGTATCCCTTCACTGCACCTTTTTCGAATTCAAGTGAAACCATTGTAACTTCTAATGAAGTTAACTATCTCAAGTGCATTCATTTTGAACACCCTTTACATACACATTCCTTCCAATCATCCGTTCCTAAGACTGTTCTACACATCGTTTATGCATACCTACGCATGTTTATTGCACTACGCAGCCCTCGATTTTCTCATTCTCACTGATTTCATCTATCCGTGTTCATGATTGGCTAACCCTGACACCTATTTACACCCACACCGCCCGCACAAACCTACATAGACTTATCTGCACTGAGGCTTAACGGGGTTTCCCGATCACCAACGTGCACACCCACCGCTTTTCGATGGGCTCCTCATATGTCGATTCCCACCGTTGACTATAGGCTGGATGGCTATCACTGAGGAGGACACCTGAACAAACGTTAATTAGCTATTCGGTTCAGCCCTGGTATGAGCTGGTGGCAACACACGACCCCCGTTTGACGGGCCCGGAGTTCAAATCCCAAAAAGAACAGGGAATAGGCGCTACTGAAACTCGAGTCTATACCTCTTCAACTTCAAGTGAAACCAATCAATCTTATTCCACGGGAAAAACACAAGATGATGGTGCTTCGGCCGAAAAACTTCACAGATTGAACCGGGTTCGCCTAAACCCCGTCCAATCCGAATGACCTAATTTCTCCGTTATTAAGCGTGAAATGAAGACAAGATCGCTCACCACAATGGTCATTTCGCTTCGACTGTAGTATGCACGTGTGCAGATGAAATGAAATGACCATGGATACATTGTGATCTTGTCTGTATCTCCGTAAATAACCAAAATTACTTTTTAACTGAGTTGCCGAACGATGATGAAACTTTCGGTGGGGTGAGGTTTGGCTGTTCGCCCCCACCCCGCCTCACCAGGGAAAGTTATGTCCGCAATCCTTGATCGAGTGGGCTTCATAGACGAGAATGAACGAACCCGATGGCAATTGAACTTGATCGACTAGGTAATGAAGCGAGTCACATGGAGATGGATTAATAAATCGATCACCAAGCTCAGACGTGGCTGTTGGAATGAATCATTGCATGAGGGTATTCAGTCTAGGCCCTCAATAACCGAGTGTGTACATCCCATTGGGGACGAGGTTCTCTCGAAAGTATCGATTCCTTTGGACCAAATGCAATTAACTATATATTTCTTGCAGTGAAGGGTACACTTGCCAAGATACTTAACAAAGGCACAGCGAGAGAGAGAGAGAGATCATTTCATCCAACTAACAGAAATCCTATTTTTCTGTGATTCACGGGATGACTATTACATTCAATTCACAATGGCAGTAGCAACAATCTGCCACCTGCAGTTCCTCCCTTCGCTACTCAGCTTCGTAGCACATGTTCATATCTTTATTGCATCACTGATCAACCCGTCGCATCTTCGCACATCCTGATTGTGATGAGAGCTCTAATCATACCGCAAATCACTCACACCGGATGTCCNGGATGTCCCGTGACTGGTCGGCCCCGTTATCGACCTTACCAGTATTAACAGGTCTAACGATTCTTGATACGTATTTCACCCATTGACCCTGTAAAATGTGTTGACACAATTGCAGTCAGTCCGATCCAGTTCAGTGACTTGTGTTCTTCAAAAACCAGGGGCGTACAACGATAACACTGCATCTGAGCGATCCTTATAGTTTAGTGAATGAGTCAGGTAGTGATGAGAATGAGTTACAATTATCCATGATCCCACATACAATGATAAATCTGTATTGGGTGCTCCATGAGGTATGAAGTTGAGGTAGGTAAGATATTCTACCCATGGTTACCTTAATATTGATCGGCTACTTTCTTCTACTTGAGGAGCAGTGGCCTCCATTAACGAATTCAGTGTGGCCTCGTGGCTCAGCTGGTAGAGCATGCGCGTACAAAGCGTAGGCGGTGTCTATGCATGGGTTCCAATCCNTATGCATGGGTTCCAATCCCGT